CTAAATTTTTCATTATTGAGCAATTTTGTGACATAGGACAAAAAAATTAGAAAATATGCAAGAAAAATGGCTTCTAAAGAGAAAAAGAGAGAGCTTTTATGATTTTATCGAACTTGGTCTTGAATAAGAATCTCTTCCAAATTTTTACAAATCAAATACTGCCAATGAAATCTAAAATTTCAATTTTGAGTGCCATCTATTTTAACCATAAGGTAAAATTGCATATGGAATTTTTTTTTTATCCAATTATTAATCAAAACGATGTCATTTTGAAAGGATTTGTTTCACCTGACTAGGTGGCACGTGGTGATCCAAGTATTTTGGTTTGTACGACAGCTATTCTCAAGCAATTTATTTGACAGCTGTTTGTGCCCCGAATCCATGAAGGAAAAGCAAGAGAGATGATGTAGATAATGATTTGTTTGTAATTGCTAGAAGTTGATAGTTAAATTACAATTAGCCAATTTTTTGTTGGATATGCCTTTGAATTTTTTTTGGGTAAATTAAAATTTGCATTTGCATTTGAATTTTTTGATAAATTAAAATTTATTTCCAAGCAGTAAAATGTACGTTACAATCACTACAACCCATGAAAGCAAAACGATTTTTCTTTGGATTTGCTTGTCATGTTTGGATATCTTTCCACTTGGTGCCATTACAGTTTTTATCATTCTTATCTGGAGCTTTCTAATTGTGGAGTGATTGTAGTTTACATTCTTATTGCGTGATTTGGAAATTGTGCAATTGGAAAAGCTATTGATGTGTCAATTTGGTCGACTTGAGTATGTAGTGTTCTCTCGTATGCTGTTTTAAGTAATTTTTAGCTAATACAAATGGTTAAATGCTGATTGACCTTCACAGTTGATACTTAGTATTTGGTTATGTTATCAAGCAATTCAGGGCTTCTTAACAAGGTCCAGCCAAGTTTCACCTTACGCCAATGATGGCAGAAACGTTCCCCAGAATATGAAATTTTGAATTGTTAGGATAGGAATTGGCTTTTGAGTCTTTAACCACTACAAATCCGCTTATCCACAATTTGCAATTGATAGGAGTTGGTTAACCATTCATTATCAATTATTAAAATGCAACTTCTAAAGAAATAAGAGTTGGTGAAATATTCAATGGATGTGTTGCATGTAATTTACAATTACATGTTCACTGTTGAGTACTTGTGCATTTTCCCATCAATCCTACCTCTCTTGTTAAAGGAAAACTCACTTCAAGAACCCATCACTTTTTAATCAATTAACTTGGTTCTTTAATCAATTAACGAATCTATAATCTAAATATAAAAGCAAACAAGAATATAAAAATCTGTAATAAACTAAAATAATTAACTGAAAACAAGCCCTAACTAATATAATAATTGCAATGAGATAAATTTTCGAATAATACCAAACTAGATATTGAAACAACCAATAGTAGTACCAAAGTACTTATCAAGACATGTTGTTCTCGTTGATTTTAGGTATTTCTGCTGGAGTTTTCTCGAAGAAGACGGCGTTTGATCAAGGTTTTTATGCTTAATTCTTGCTCAATGCGAATGGTAGGCACAGGATCCGAATCAGATTCAAGCTTAGGGTTTTGCGCCTTTAAAACACCTCGAATATCCCACTTTCTCTCTTTTTCATAAAAAAAATAAAATAAAAAAGCACTGGAAATTAAAATAGCCAATATAATGCCCTATTTAGATTGATCTCCATGCAGACACAACTTTCCTGGTCTCTCCCTCTCAAACATATACACAAGAAAGAAATACCCACACATACATTGCACAATTGGATATACATCCTTCCTTTTGGATGGTTGGATGGCTTAAAGAGGTACTAATGGAGGAAAAGGTATCAAAGGCTGGACAATGCCATCAAGATGAAAAGAAAGAAAGCTGAAGATTGCTCATCTAGGGAGCAAAAGAAGTCATAAAGAGCGTGAATTCTGATTAAAAGTGAATTCAAGGCTAGTTGTAAAGTTTCATGAAGCATATTGGTGCAATAACACGTTTAGCAGGCAGCAAAAGATTTCACCATACTAGGAATAGAGCAAAAAGGTTTTTTTTTTTTAAAAAAATTTTTTCCCAATAGGAGAAGGGTGGAATTTAAGAAGCGGTTACGAGAAAAAGAGCAGGAAAATGTCAACCAATTACTTGAACACAAATTTTGCCAATTCTTTATCACAATTAATTTTAGCATGAAAGGTCATATTTAATTAACGTAGATTATATTTGATGAGATCATTTTATTTATTTATAACTGTTGTCCATCAAGAAGTCTAGCAGGTAAGTATTTTCTACATTGCAGTACTTTTAAATTGTATATATAATTAATTTTTTTGCCCCGTCATTCAAATTAAAACTAGCAAATGGTTATCGAAGGGAAAGAGAAAAAACGCCATGCAAAAATAGTGACTGGGACTAATATTCCCTCCTGATAGATGAAACTATTAAGACAATTTAATTCAAAAATTTCATCAATTGGATATAAGGGTGTCAAGCAATTCACAAGACTTGAATCCAAATGCAAGGAGAAAAGAAAAATTCTTTACATCCATGGTTAAGGGCTTTTGCTCACCCAATCTAATCCCATACATGAAGTAGGAGACAAGAACATAAAGCAAAACATCTACTAATGATAACAGTCATCTATAAAACAACTGATCACTGTATTGATACTAAGAAATTAACGTCTCATTCTTGTTTGCTTTTGATTTTGCATAAGTGATGATAAAGAATAATCAGAATCAACAAAAATTACTCTTTGGTAGAGTATGAATTTTAAATTTATTATTATTATTATTAAAAATTTATAAATCTAAATATAAAAACAAACTAGGATAAAAAAATGATTATTCAAAATCAAAATTTATAATCAACTGAGATAATCAATAGAGAAACAGCCCCAACTTAATATAAGAATCACAATAGGATAATTCTCACATAATAGTACCAAACTAGATACCAAAACAAGTAATAGTAATACCAAAGCACTTGGAGTTTTCTCGAGGAAAACGGCGCTCGATCGAAGTTTTCATGCTTAATTCTTGCTCCACGCGAATGGTAGGCACAGAATCTGAAGAATCATGCTCAGGATCGGGTTGTCCTTCTCTGAAACAGCCCAAACAACCCACTGTTTTTCTGGTCGTTTCCTGGCCATCTTGTGTCTTTTGTTGGCCACCAGTTGTACTCTCATTAGAGTCCTTTGGAAAATCCTTCTTTCCAGACATGTTACCCATTGTTTTGCACCAAATCAACGGGAAAACAGAAGGTGCGGCTCAGTGTTCATTGGGGCTTATTTAAAGAGTGAAAGTTAGGGTATTCCTTCATCAATAGTACCACATGTTATGGAAATAGTATTGTTATGGAAAAGTTATTAAGGAAAAGGAAAGAAAAAAGAAGGAATTTTGGGTAATAATGATGGCAATTGGCACTGATTAGTACATTTAGATTTATTGGTTTCCATTGGAGTACACTACACATTTATTGTTTCTGCCATTTTGGGTGCTTTCTTGATTTAACTTCATATTTCCAAAAACAACCTGTGTTGTGTTTGTCGATCTCTTCACTAGCTCATCTTTCTTATCTTTTTTCTGCTTTTGATTTAGGTGCATGATGATGAGAAAGATTTTGGGGTAACAAAAACACTTTATATACTTTCTAAACTACCCTTGATGATGAGGGGGCTTTTGATATACATAAAAATCTATCTGTTTTTGTAACTACCCACTATCAATATGATTTTTTACCAAGTAATATGTATTTTTTTCATATTCTATTTTTCAACTTATTTAGCAAATCTTAATTTTAACTAACAATTACCAAATATGTTTATGAATAACTACCAAATAACTAATTTTTATAAATTTTATTTTGATAAATTTTTTACATATGTATTGTCAAGATATAAAACCAATTTTCTTGAAAATTATTTTAATAAATATACTCAAAATATTTTACAAATATTTTTTTTCTATTAGTTGCACACACATTACTGTGTGCCTTGAATACTAGTATATTTTACAACATAAAATGTTAATAATTTATATGTAAGTTTGTATTAATTCTTAATTATAATATATATAATTATGTATTTAATTATGAGTTGGGACCAAGCCCGATATGAACCCGAAACTCATATAATAGTATGAGTTGAGTTTGAGGTTTTTTAATATAAGCTTGAACCTCAAAAACCTAAAAACCAAAAATTCAAATAATTTGTGAGCAGAGTTTGGTCTTACTAAAGTCTGGCTCTAAAAGCTCGATTGACACCACAAGTTGTGGATTGCCTTTGCCATTTGGATGAACTGCAAGAAGATCTTGTACTTGATGTTCTAAGTTACCTGTCTGTGCTTAATATATTCACCAGAGCATGCTGGTAGAAAATATACCCTATTTTCTGTGATTAGGAGCAGTCTAGCCAGTTGCATTCACCAATGGGTTATTTTGGATTTTGAGAGAACAAATTTGAGACAATGAATTACTACCTTCTCTGCACAGTTGGAAAAATAGACTTCTGCAAACTGACTACATCAATTATAAGCCTCTTCTTTTAGGTATGGAGCCATTAGCAAAACAAAGATTATGAACATTCTTTTAGGCATGGAACCATTAGCAAACCATTTGAAAAACAAAGAGTATGAAGTTTAACAAATTTTCAAAGTTAGATTTTCTTGAGAGGCCTATAGTGCCATCATAACACATGTTCAGAGGATTGCTTTATCTTCATCTTAATGAATCATTGAGGTGCAATTGATAACAATCTCGGTCTCCTATTCTGATCATACCATACAGATTACAGATATTTGACAGTTATATATGTCCACTTCCAAAATCAAAAGAAACTTGATAATCTATTTGCATTTCCCACAAGGAAGTTCTACAAGAAAAAAAAGTGTACAAGTTTAATCGAAAGAATTGAAGCCAGTAGACTACTTAGACATGGTGTCCAACTAAAGATAAGACAAGCATAACTGATGAGGAGCCAATAAGACCAAATTTGAACTGCCTAGTTAGTTGGTTTAATCCTGCAACTTTGGACGGGGAAATGGGTGATGCAATCGGCAACGACCGCTTGCATTGTCTTCACATCATCATCAGCTTTGGCATCAGAGGGGGCATCAAGTTGCTTGGCTTTAAAGGTGATAAAAAACAGACGATTGAGGGTCCAAACGACTTTCTCAACATCCACAAGTTCATACTGTTTGCCCTAATACAACAACAAGGCAAGGCAGTCAATCAAAGATGCTTTAATTAATTCACCCAAAGTGTATAAGAAGATCCCAAAAAATCAACAAAATAGCTCGGCAGTTTGAACCAAATCAAATGGGGAAAAAATTGTTAAATCACACACCCGATCATCCTTGAAGATCTTCACCGCCTCACGTGCCATTTTCTTCACTAAGTCGTAGCATCCCTCATCCTCCCTGAATTCTGGGCAAGGCACGTACATAGCAAAGGAGCCTCCAGGATACGCATCCTCATCAACATCAAAACCCTGAAATTTTTTTTACTACTTGTTCTGTTTAATTAATCAACAACATTTTGAAAAAAAAAATACAAATATCCACTGTTGCATATGAAATTTATTATGAATAGCAGCGATCGAACAAATACTACACTAAAGCAAAATCAAATCCACCGAATAATATACATATAAAAGGACTTTCCAACAAATAATGATGTAGCTACGTTACCCCGCTCTCCTTGATCTGACTGCTGTATTTATGCCACATCTTAGCGGCCTCTTCTTCAGTTCTTCCGAGGAGCCAGGATTCCTCCTCTTCCGAGTCCGGACTCATGATGTCGTCTGTTGATGGGGGCTCACGAAAGAGACCATCTTCTTCCTCGGATTCGGATTGTTTTTGTCTTTTGGCGGATGGTTCTCCGCCGGCGCCATACTTGATGCGCCAATACAGATCATCAAAGTCGTCGGTTGGAGGCGGGGCAGGTTGAGTATCGCTTTTTACGGACGAACTAGCGTTCATAATTATTTTTTTTGGGTTTTTTTGAAGCAGCTTTGGATTGTGTTTTCTCCATGCCCGCTGGACGTTTATTATACTCCTAGTCCCTTAGACGTCCAGCGGGCGTAGCAAACCGTGGACTTACCAGGAGCTCCATCGATCAAAGTTCGATTACTCGATTATAGTTGGTTGTCGAATTGAACTCGAGCCTTTAGGGATAAGTTTATCAAACATTTCGAGTTGTGTGTATGTATGTATATATATTATTTATTATTATTAAATTATAGAAAAAACTTATATTTTTAAAAGAAATTATATGTTTTACCACTTTAACTTGAGCGTGAATTTGATCTTAAACTCGAACTCAAATTCTCTATATTGACATAATTCGAGCTCAAGTTTTGGAATGAAAGATTTGTTGAGCTCGAACTCAGATAATACAATTCGAGCTTGACTTGCCATCCCTTCTCTAGCCTCCAGCTCCCATATTCTATTTTCTAGATTTTTGAATTTGTAATTCAAGTGGTAGTATATGTTTTTGGTTTAATTACTATATCAATGTTTTTACTCGGCATGGATAAAAGATCAACGGAAGAAAGGAACAACTCTGGGATTTGATATAGTACTTTATGGGCATTGATTGTAGAAATTCGACTAGAGTTAAACTAATCTTTGATAGGTTAATCAATAATTAGTTAAAAATTTCTACTTGTCTTGATACCTTCTATCATATAACAATTATTCATGTTGCCCGAAAAGAAAAATATTCTAAACCTACTGTATCATGATTAAAAGGTCAGTCTATTACGTAAAAAAGCAAGAAAAAAAAGGTCAGTCTGTTAAAATTAGAAGTTCAAATAGGGAATCATAAAATAAAACTGCAAAGACTACCATTTATCAAGACTTATCATACTTCTAAGTAGTGCTCAAATACAGATTAAGTCATAAATGACCAAATATATACACATAAGTATAGACATAATCCGAGTATATAAACATGTATTCACATAATTATATATATATGTGTGTGTGCACGCGTGCCTATGTATGCATTACTGAACCGGAACTACAAAATAATAATAATGGTGTTACCCTTCTTAAAAGGAAAAGGAAATTGGTGTTACATTTTAGCATCGGAAACTTAGAACTAAGACAAATAAATAAATTAATAAGCTTAGAGCTATGTTCTTGACACGAGCTGCAAGTTACAGCTATACAAGGGACTAGGATGATACAGGCTGCAAAGGTATAGGAAGTCCATTTTCTGGGGTAGGCATTATTATAGCACCAAGATCCTTTTATTGGGGAACAAAATCTCACATTTGTGCTTTTTGACCACATTATGGAAGAATGCTAATACAGCACCAAATGGAACGTATGTAAATGGAGCTAAGCCATTTGCCTTCTCCTCTAGAATCATACCCTGAAGGATCAAATTTCTTAAACATGGTGCTTTAGTCAATTTCTTATCACAAAGTATCAAAATACTCAATGGTGTATCCACCATTTCACTATAAGATTCTAGCTAGTTATAGTCTACTGTTATGTCCCTTGAATGCGGAGGTTCTAAATCTTGATGAGTCTTCTTTTCCTACTCCATTCTTGCCAAAATTTTAGGATGTTTAGTTCTCCAGTTTAAAAGATTAAAGAAACCATACATTCTTTTCTGTTATATTAGTCAATTGCAGAATAGTTAGTTACCTTCTAATCAATTCCATCCATTCTCCAACTTAAGAAGTTAGAGAAAGTATGTAAACTTTTCCTTTTTAAGTTTGTCAATTACTGATCAATTACCTTCCAATTAGTTCTAATATTCTTGCAATCAATATCAAATTCAATGCATAAAATATTTTTCTTCTCCCTCCCTACCCTTGATGTAAGCAAAATTCTGACCAGTTCCAAAAGGTTGAGGAGCCAATTATGTTACACTTCCCTCCTTGGCTTTTTCAGTCTTCCTCTCTCATTACTTGTGCCCAATACTTTTGAAATTTTTTTTAAATTACACTTAAATAATGATTACAACACTTGAAAAACTTAAAAACCTTTTATGCTTTTGCCCTTTTTTTCCCCCTTGGATTCACTAGTTGGCACCTAGAACTTCACCGTCCAGTCATTCCTTTGTGTTTTGGCTAAATTACTAATAACCTCCCTATGGTCAAGTGTATTATCAGATGACCTCCTTAATTTTATAAATTATTTAGCTAATCCCCCAATTGTTTCATATGACACGAAAATGTGATAGAAAGTAGCCTCCATACCTTCATGAGTTGAAATTCCAATATTATCTATACTTAAGTACAACATAGGATAATGTCTAACCACTTTGCCTAAAATCAGGGAACATTATTTCAATATATTCAAAAGTATAAAAGGTTGAGTGGATATTTATTCAAATTATAGGAGAGTAAATAGGTATTATAGTTTTATTAAATGCATTGTTGAAACGCGTCTAGGTCAATTGTAGTAATTACTTTGCGTCCATTTTCCCTTTTACACAAAACCACAGGGAGCTTGTGGACATTTTAAATTGTTGGGGGTTCATGTGGCAATATGCAAAACATAGGGGGATTAGTACTAATTTAGGAAAAATAATTCAAAATAGTCCTTACATTTCACCTAATGAATTTTTTCGTCATTCACTTTTAAAATATTAGCTTTATATGCCTTACAAATTCAATTTAGCAAAATTTGGTTACAATCTAAGTTTTCGACCATCTTTTATCCCGTGATCACTATGTGACCCACATGTAGTCATATGTTATTTATGATTCCGAATCATAAATAAAACTGCTAAGACTACCATTTACCGAGACTTATCATACTTCTAAGTAGTGCTCAAATACAGATAAGTCATAAATGACCATATACACACATAAGTATAGACATATTCCGAGTATATGAACATGTATTTACATTATATATATGTATGTATATATATCTGCACGTGCGCGTATATATGTATTAATGAACCAGAACTACAAAATAATAATAATGTTGTTACCTTTCTTAAAAGGAACAGGAAATTGGTGTTGCATTTTAGCATCGGAAACTTAGAACTAAGATGCTTAAAATGAACCAATAAATAAATTAATAAGCTTAGTGCTAAGTTTTTAACACGAGCTGAAAATTACAGCTATACAAGGAACTTGGAACTAAGATGATGCAGGCTGCAAAGGTATAGGAATTCCATTTTCTGGGGTAGGTATCATATCACCAACATCCTTTTGTTGGGAAGCAAAACCTCACATTTGTGCTTTTTGACCACAATGAGCACAAATGTGGAAGAATGCTAATAAAGCACCAGACGGAATGTATGTAAATGAAGCTAAGCCATTTACGTTCTCCTCTAGAATCATACCCCGAGGGTCCGTTTGGTTCACGGACTGGATCAGATAGGATGACTCATCCCGTATTATTAATCTTGGGTTGAATCATCTTCAGATAAATAATCCAAGTTATCTAGTGTTTGGTTGGTTCTTGGTTGGATAGAATATGTTGGAAAATAATCCTATCCTGTGTTTGGTTGGAGATTGGATGAGGAAGGATTATTATTTTAATGACCAAAGCATTCCTTAATTTGTAGATTCTTTTTAATAAAATAATTTAGTATTCTATAAAATATTAATAAAATAATTTAATATTTATAAATTTTATTAAAATAGAGTAGATTAAAACTTTATAATTTTATCAAGGGTTTTGATATATAAAAATTCGCATTCATTCAAACTTAGCCCATTTGGGCCCTTAAAAATAGATTTTGACCAAGTTTTTGAACCTAAATTTGAAATTCAATTAAATAATGGGCCAAGTTTTGGCTAAATTAAGGTTAAATCGATTAAACCTAACTCATTTAAGAGCTTTCAGTGAGCCAAACTCAGGCTAATATAGAAGATTTTTCTTTGGATCGAGTTTGAGTTTATTGATATCCTCATTCACAAAGTCCAATTGATAAGATTATATATTTATATAAATTTCGTTTAGAAAATAAATTTAGTAAGGGTAATTTAGTCCAAGGGCAATATAATCCTTCTATTATGATGTTAGTATGGCAAACTAGTCAAAAATTTTAAATCAATTAATAGGGGTAATTCAAAATTTTTAAAATAATGAATAGGGGCAAATTAGTCAAAAATTTTAATAGAATTAGTAAGGGCTAATTGGTCTGTTTATTATGATATTATTATGTGACAGTATGGTTATATAGTAGCTAATTTGAATTTCAATCATTCATAAGGATAAATTAATCCAAATATTGTTATATTGGTAGTAGGGGCAAATTAGTCAAAAACATTAAAATTAAATAGTAGGGGCAAATTAGTCCATTCATATTATATTATCATGTGGGAGTAGGATTATATAATTATAAGAGTATAAATTTGTATTTTTTATAAGGATAAATTAGTTTAAAATTTTATCATCCTATTTGTTGTTATTCTGGGATCCCATGAATCGGGGATTAATTTAGTTAGGTAGGATGTGTCATCCCATATATAAAATGCAACCAAAACATGAGATGACACAGGATGATTAATCTAATCCTGTGCCATCCCATGAACCAAACGGATCCTGAAGGATCAAATTTCTTAAACATGGTACTTTATTTAATGTCTTGCGACAAAGTATCAAAATACTCCATGGTGTATCCACCATTTCACTATAAGATTCTGGCTAGTTATAGTCTACTGTTATGTCCTTTGAACGCAGAGATTCTAAATCTTGATGAGTCTTCTTTTCCTACTCCATTCTTGCCAAAATTTTAGGATGTTTAGTTCTCCAATTTAAAAGATTAAAGAAACTATATATTTTTTTCTGTTATGTTAGAACTAATTGGAAGGTATTTGATCAGTAATTGACAACTTAAAAAGGAAAAGGTTACATACTTTCTTTAACTTCTTAAGTTGGAGAATGGATGGAACATTGTTGATCAATTACCTTCCAATTAGTTCTAATATTCTTGTAGTCAATATCAAATTCAATGCACAAAATATTTTTCTTCTCCCTGCTTCCTACCCTTGATGTAAGCAAAATTCTGAACAGTT